CCCCCTGCCTTGTCCGAAAGTGGGTGTGTGTCGTAGACAGTGCACTGTCCTTCCCTCCCCTCTCTTACTTGAACTCTCTTCTGTCTTTTCTCTCGCTCTGGCTGCCAACAGTGACAGCCCTGCTGCCCCTTACCTGCGACCTGGTCCCCCTAGTGCCCAGCGTGATCCATCCCGTACCACATCATATCCACCAGGCAGTTCGAGGGGGGGGGGAAGAAGTCCGGGAAGTGATCAGGCGATTTGAGAGGGATTGCTGCTTCAACTTTAGTCCATTCATTGAAGTACAGTCGGTAGTCTCTTGTGAACTCCCCTCCAGCTTGGTCTTCCTCAGCTGCTATAGTTACTGTTGGAGCTCCCTGCCATTCCACTCTGCCGATCCTCCCTCCCTGTGGATCCCCAAGCCAGATTGAGCTGAAGTCCTGGATTTGTTTTCTGATTTCTTTTGGATTGTGAAGGGGTTGAATTCGTGCTTTGAGCGCATTCCATTTGGCCGTGATTTCTGTCTGGATTTGAAGCTGGACGCTCTCTGTGAACTCGGGCCCTTCTAATYGTGCTCCCTCCATTTYGAAGGTGCAACGTCGTCGCCAAAGTGCCCAGAGAATCGCCCGCCGTCCCAGCCTGAGCAGGTTTCCAGTGAACTCGTCCATGTGCTCTGTCAGGCTCGCGGGCCAGTTTTCACATAACAGGGCCTTCCAATCCCATGGCCACTGAACTTTTGTCCCCAGTTGGTCCCATACTCGGTCCCACCATCTCCATAGCCAGAGCGCCCCCGGGCACTGTAGAAAGATATACTCAATTGTCTCCGGCCGTTTCCGGGGTGGGAATGTGTTCATGCAAAGTTTACGCCATGGGAGGGCTCGCCCTTGTTGTTCCAGGGACGTCCTGTCTATAAGCCAGTTGTTAGTAGGGAGGCAGCGATGCTCGATCTGCCATTGGAGTGAGGCCCATTTTGCTGGCTTTTCTTTGATTGTTCGGAACCATCGGACCGGCTGCAGCTCTTGATTGCTTATGTTGAGGTGGGTCCTCCAGCGATCCTTCACCTGATCGCGTAGTGCAGCCTTGGGTCTTAAGAGTCTGTAGGCAGCTTTAACAGTTAAAGCGTAAAGAGTTTTCGTGAATTTCCTGTCCTGCCTGCCGTGGGCTGACCACGACCACTCCCCTGGATCCAGGGCCAAGAGGTCCAGGGGGGTTTCGGGGTAGTAGGCTATCCATTGTTCGTTTTCGTGTAGTACTCGAATTCGGTAGACCTCTGCGATTTGGCATGTAAGGTCCACGCTGTTAAGGTCTGTTAGGATAACGTTGTCCTGGCCGATTGGTGAGAGTCGTACAACTATCGTCCCATCCCGAGGACAACAGATGACCCTACCCACCTGGCCGCGTCGGTCCCGGACTGCAACCCAGTCCTGTTCTTGCACAGTGGGGCCTTTGCGAAGGATTCGCCACCATGCAAGAGGGATAATTTCTATTAGCTGCTCCAGGGCGTCATACGGACGGTGGCAATATCTCAACATGCGGCGGAGCTGATCGGGCCCGATCCAGACCCTCGTGTCCCGGTCCCATATGTCTTTTACCCTTATTACCCCATTCCTGATCCAGCTCTGCCAGGGGGAGTCGGTGCAAAGGAGCATGCGGCCTGTCGAGTCTACCACTCGCCTGTTCCCAAAGAGAGGTTGGCGCGCCACCTCCTCCCATCGTTCTGGTTCTGTTTTATCTGGGGGAGGCAGGCTCCTCCATGTCTTAAGCAAGGATGGCCAGAAGGGGTCATGACGCAGGTCATCTCTAGCTGCTTGCCTGGGGCAGTCTCAACGCGGGCCAGTGTGCTGCCTCCTTATTCGAGAGATGGGCCACTCTCTATTTTCCAACCACATCAGCGGGGCTGTTCCCTCGGGTACATGCGGTGCAAGGCGTGCAATTTGTTCCAAAGCCAACCGTCTCCAGGGGACCTCCGGGTTGAAAAGGAGGCGTTTAAGCCATTGCAGAGCCAATGCCTGGGTTTGCAGCAGGGGGTCAATAATGCCCAACCCTCCCCTGGTTTTGGGTTGGATGAGGGCGTGCCAAGCGACCCGGTGCAGAACATTTTGTCGTTCGTGGTCCCCACGCCATAAGAAGGCAGCAATCTGGCGTTGCAGCGGACGCAGGGCGTTCTTGTCCATGGCCCAAATGGCCGATTTATACCACATGGATGCTAGAACAACATTGTTGATGATTAGGGCGCGGCCAAACAGCGAGGTGTGTGTATCCCTCCAAAGGGCCATTTTGGCCAGGGGGGGCGATGATATCCACTCGTTACATGTCGTTGGTCTAACTTCCGTTGTCATAGAGATGCCTAGCACCCGAATGGGGGCCTCTTTGGGGAGCCAGTTAATCCTGGGTTGTTCGGGGGTCTCACTCCTTGATGATGTATCCACCAACCCAGGGTTTTGCTCCCCCAGTTCACTCTCATGTTCGACAGAGCGCAAAAGCGGTCCATCATATGCTGCACCTCTTCCATTGCTTCTTTGGAGGCCTCTACCATCAATGTTAGATCATCAGCGAATAGAGAGCACACTGGGATTTCCTCTTTAGGTATGGCCGCCACCTGGACTCTGTTGAGATCTTTGTGAGACCTCAGGTTGACAGCCAGTGCCTCCATGACGATAACAAATAGGTAGGGTGCTATGGGATCGCCCTGTCGTACTGACCTCTGCAGGCGGATGGGGGGCGCCAAATTGCCATTTACCATGACTCTAGTGGTTGCGTTCACGTGAAGGATCTCGATCCAATGTCGGAAGTTCTCCCCGAAATTTAGTTTATGTAGGCATTTATCCAAGAAGAACCAGTCTACATGGTCGTATGTCTTCTCAAAGTCGATGAAGATGATAGCAGCATTGTTCCTGGATTGCATAGATAGCTTGATCACCTCATTGACCAGGAGTATGTTGTTCTGGATGTTTCTTCCTTGGATAAAGCCAATCTGGTCAGGGTGAATGATGTCTCGCATAACAGGTGTCATACGATTAGTTAGAGTTTTTGCTAGAAGCTTGTAGACCACACGGAGGAGGGTGATGGGCCGATAGTTTCTGATATTGGTCCTGGCGCCTTTTTTAGAGAGGAGAGTCAGCACTCCTTGCCCCACTATTTCGCCTATCTGTCCGGTATCCCAGACCGCGTGGTAAAAGTCCATGAGATCCTGTGCGATAATGGGCTACATAGTTTCCCAAAATTCCTTGGGAAGACCATCTAGGTCCGGGGTCTTTTCGTCGTCCATTTGTTGTAGCGCTACCCAGATCTCTTCCTTGGTTATGGGTGCATCTAAGGCTATGAAACCGCGCGTTCATTGAACGCGGGTTTTCCGTTCATAAATTGAACGGAATGCACGCGCGTTCAATGAACGGGACCGAACGCGGAGTTCAATTCCGCGCAGGGAGAAAAAAAAAAAAAAAAAAAAAAAAAAAAACTCAAAAAATTCCCAAAAAAACATATGTTATGAAGAAAAATAAAATAAACAATATTTTCCTGAGCATTACATTTAAATTCGTTACCAAATTGGAAAAAAAAAAATAGAAAACAGAAAATTAAAAAAAGTAAAAAAAGAATTGAAATTAGTGAGCGAACATGATTTGACACCGCCAACTTTGGCGATTTTTTGTTTTTGTTTGCCTTAGCAAACTGACTCCAAAATTGAGAGGCATAAACCTCACATCATACAGAACTCATAAAAAAAAAATCAGAAAAAAAAAGTGATTTTTAGGCATTAAAATGATTTTTTTTAATAAACAAATAAAAAAATAATTGAACGCCGTTCAATTTTTGAACGCGAACGCGCAATCCGCGTTCAAACGCACATTTGAACGCGAACGTGCGTTCACGGCATTCAAACGGTTACACAGAATTTGATGACTACACACATCAAGACCCGGTCGTCTGGTGGCAAGGATTTACAACGGAGTTGGGGATTCCCGAAGTCCCTGACCATTTGTTCATCAGTGAAAATGACAAGTCCAAATCGGGCGTCGCCACGATTTTCTGCCAATCCGTGAGCCAGTCACGTGTCGGTGTGCTCCCTTGAGCCATCGTGAAGATGCGGTTGACGGCGAATGTCGGGGCGTCGTCGACGATGAACGGCTTCTTCCATTCCTTTCTCATGTCTTCCCAGGAGACCTTCTTGTACACGTCTGAAACCTGGACGCCGTGGATGGTTGCCATGTGGCTGAGCCAGATTTGAAAACCTCCCTTGGTGCATCTGCGGCGTGAGTTCTACAACAGGTCATGCGCCGCTCTCAGCCTCGCACTTGGTGATCACGAGCAGTACAGCACTTTCGCAGAGATTATCAACAAGGCGAGAGAGCTCATCAAGACTAACGGGCCGGCTGCACACGAGAAGTCCACGTGGCAGCCAACCTATGTGGAGAAGGTACGAACTGGTCCGCGACAGCAGCAGTTCGCAGCAGTCCAGTCAAACAGTGGAGATAACCCAGCAGCCACTCCAGCATCAAGTGACGGAGATCAGGTGGCTGTTGTCCAGCCGCGAAGCCACAACAAGTCCCGCAACAATGGGAAGGCGAAATCCGCATCGCAGGCCGGAAATGGACAGCCAAGACAATTTTCATGGGTCAAGTTTGTCCTAACCGAGGCGGAGTACAAGGTCCGCGGCCGCTACGGCAACTGCTACTGGTGCAATAGCACCAAGCACAAGACCTCCTTGTGCCAAGATCACGGCAAGGAGGATGTGCGACCCCGCCTCAGCTCGGGAAACTGAGCTCCGCAGAAGGTGAGGCGACTTCACCCTCTACTCCGCCAGATTCGGCCGCCTTGCTAGCGGCCTCCTGCACATCTGGGGAGGATGCGAATGTCGCAAGTCATCGGTATACTTACGAGGATTATGTTGTCCACTTGGTTCCACCGTTGGACCAACCGCTCCACATGCAACAGTCCACCGCATGCACAGTTTCATCACCATTGGCAACCGACTCGGCAGCTTCGCCGCAATCAATCGCCGGTGATTCGACGTCATGGTCAAGACTTGAAGAGTTCGACCCATTGACATTCACGTACTTCCAGTGGATGCCCGTTCCCTCGACCGAACGATTGCCGAAACCGCATTGCAATGTGCTTATGGCACAATTGCGGGACTACCTGCACACTGCAGTACCAGCTCCGTTGATGGACGCCGGAGCAGAGGTTGTCAAACTTCACGCTTACATCGCGAAGATCGACCGCGAGTTCAAGACGCAACGGTACGACGACATCGACGCACCATTGTTATATGTACGCATTCAGATCGGAGAGGCGACCTGCAGTGCCTTGATCGATTGCGGAGCATCTCGCAACTATATCAGTCAAGACTTCATGGTACGCGCCGGCCTTGGCCCACGTATCCGGAGGAAGTCCCAGCCTACGCAAGTCACTCTGGCAGACGGTCATACGCACAAGTCCATCGACAGGTGCATTGACGCCTTCCCAGTGTACTTTGCCCCTCACGCAAGTGAGGCGGTGTCCTTTGACATTCTGGACACCAAATTCGACATGATCTTGGGCATGTCATGGCTGCGAAGCAAGGATCACCCGGTGAACTTCTTCAACCGCACCGTTCACGTTCGTGACCGGAACGGAGTATTAGTTCCATGCAGGGTGCCTCTTCCTCATCCTTCGATCAGCTGCCACGTGGTATCTGCCGCAAGCATGCGAGCTTCCATCATCAGAGACGACATCGAGGAGATGTGGGTGTGTTTTCTCCACGCCCTCCCGCCCCATGACGCTTCATCGACGGACTCACCTTCGGATGCACGCATCACCGAACTTCTCGACGCTTACAGCGACATGTTCGAAGGCCCGCACAGAGTGGTACCGGATCGACCCATCCGCCATGAGATCATCCTCGAGGACGGCGCCGTACCTCCGCGAGGTTGCATCAACCGAATGAGCGAGGAAGAGTTAAGTGTGCTTCGGGCACAACTCGACGACCTTCTGAAGAAAGGCTGGATTTGGCCTAGCTCATCGCCATACAGTGCTCCTGTTCTCTTCCCCCGCAAGAAGAACAAGGACCTGCGGTTGTGCATCGATTATCGCAAGCTCAACGCGCAGATGATCAAGAATGTCGGCCCTCTCCCGCACATCGGCGACCTTTTCGAGCGATTGGGCGGCGCCCTGTTCTTCTCTAAGCTGGATCTCAAGTCAGGGTACCACCAACTCGAGATTCGCAAGGAGGATCACTACAAGACCGCGTTCAAGACACGGTATGGGCATTTCGAATGGTTGGTCATGCCATTTGGCCTTACGAATGCCCCAGCCACTTTTCAAGCGGCTATGACGACGGAGTTCCGACACATGCTGGATCGTTTCGTACTTATCTACCTCGACGACATTCTGGTTTACAGTCGGAGTCTGGACGAGCATGTGGAACACCTATGCACCGTTTTGGAGCGGCTACGACAGGCCAAGTACAAAGCAAACCGTGACAAGTGCGAGTTCGCACAGCAGGAACTGGAGTACTTGGGACACTATGTGACGCCGCAAGGCATCCGTCCGCTTGCGGACAAGATCGAGGCCCTACGAGTATGGCCCGAGCCCACCAACACCAYGGACGTTCGTTCATTCATGGGGTTGGCRGGCTACTATCAGCGATTCATCACCGGATACTCCAKGATTRCTGCACCTATGACAAGGTTACAGTCGCCAAAGGTGCCATTCGTATTCGATGACGACGCACGCCGGTCATTCCAAGCACTTAAGACGGCTATGCTCATGGCACCCGTCCTTAGCATCTATGACCCCACCCTGCCGACGCGAGTGACTACGGACGCTTCCGGCTATGGCATTGGGGCAGTCTTGGAACAGCACGATGGCGACGACTGGCACCCTGTGGAGTATTTCAGCCACAAAGTGCCTCCCATCAACTCGCTTGATGATGCAAGAAAGGAGCTGCTCGCATTCGTGATGGCTCTCAAGCGCTGGCGGCACTTCCTCCTTGGGCGTCGTAGGTTCACATGGGTCACAGACAACAATCCATTGACCTACTACAAGACGCAGGACACGGTGAGCAGCACAATCGGACGATGGATGTACTTCATCGACCAATTTGACTTCACACSRAARCATGTCCCCGGCCTCTCCAATCGCGCAGCAGATRCACTCTCKCGAAGACYTGATCTTTGCGCTATGACACATCATGCCTTCGCATTCGACGAGGAGCTTCAGCGACACTTCATCCGGGCATATCAGTCTGATCCGGAATTCGGCACGCTCTATGCACAGCTATCTTCGGATCACCCGCCGGCCAGCCATTACCGCATTGCCGACGGGTACTTGCTCCTCCACTCGAGAGGCAAGGACTTACTATGTGTCCCACGCGACCGTCGTCTTCGGACTTGCCTCCTCAGCGAGTATCACGATTCAGGACTCGCCGGCCATTTCGGAGTCAACCGCACTATTGCACGGCTTCGACAGCGATTTCGATGACCCGACCTCATTACCGATGTCACTCGGTATTGCGATTCTTGCGAAGTTTGCCGACGCAGCAAGCCCCGCAACCGCAATCACTACGACGAGTTACACCCGATGCCTATCCCACGAGAACCCGGTCTCTCCTTTGCCATGGACGTCATTGGTCCGTTTTCTCGCGACCGGCTCAGGCACGACGGCATCCGCACGGTTGTGGACCGATTGAGTAAGTACGCGTGTTTTCTCCCTTGCAAGTACTACTCCACGGCTCCCGAGCTGGCATGCCTCCTGCACACGGGTTGGATTTGTGGCCACGGTGTACCATAAGACATTGTCAGCGACCGCGACACTCGTTTCATGTCGGCGTTTTGGACTGCTCTCATACAGGAGTCCGGCACAACAATGAAACCAAGTTCGGCTCGACATCCTCAGACAGACGGGCAGACGGAGTGGGCACATCAAACCGCTCAAATGATGCTTCGTACGCTCATCCGTCCGGACCAGAAAGATTGGGTTGACCGCTTCCCCCACATCGAGTTCGCCTACAACACTTCGGTGCATCCGGTGATAGGCGTGACTCCATTCGAGTTGCACCACGGTGGACGGAAAGGCCGGATCTTCGACGACCTTCTCCTCCCTCGGCCAGCCGACCTTGACGCTGCCTGCTCTCCCGCTTCCGTCCGAAAGTACAGGGAATTGCTGACTCAAGCCCGCGCAAATATGCAAAAGGCTCAAGTCCGCATGCAGCAGCAAGCCAACAGGCGTCGCGTACCATGTGCCATCCGCGCCGGTGATCTGGTTTGGGTCTCCGCGGAAGAGTTTGCACTGGAACAGGATGTTTCACGCAAACTGCTTCCAAAGTGGTTTTGACCTTGGTCTGTGACAGCAGCCGCGGACGATGAGCCCAATGGCCCTTCATTTGTGATCAACATTCCTGAGCATCTGACAGTCCATCCGGTCTTCCACGCGTCGAAGTTGGCAACATACACGCCAGCCACGAGCGACGACTTCCCAGCCCGACGATCGCAGGACCCTCCTTCTATAGATGGCCATCAGGAAGTTGGCCGTGTCATCTCCGATCGCAAGTACGGCAGCAAGTCGCGGCAGTACAAAGTCACATTCAAGGCATGCGATCGCGACGACACTTGGTGGATTTCAGGCGCAGATTTGAAAGCATCCGCACCACTGATCTACGCGCATCATGAAAAGCGCAGGTTAGCTCAGGAAGCTTCACGACCAGCCCCTCCCACCCGGACTCTGGTCCCTCCCTCAGACAGACAGCTTCGCCCTCGCAGGTAAGCTCGGTTCTTCAAGAAGGGGGGGCGGTGGCATACTGCGTAGCCACACGGGCCCTGCAGGGCCCGTCCCGGACATTCAGCCTAAAATCCTAAAACTTAGGGATTACAGGCCCCGTTCGTTTCAGCCTGGATGCTGAAAAACGAGGGCCTGCAGGCCCTACCCCGTTTCAGCCTATTTCTGGGTCTTTTCAGACCCAAAGTTTTCAGCCTGAAACGGAGGGCCATTTTCAGGCCCTCATTGTTTCGACCTGCCCCTAAGACTCAGGCACGAAAACAGGGATGCGGAAGAGGCCAGAAATAGCCTGTTCCTCACGAGTTTGAGCAGGAGCTGCAGCTGCAGCCCCTGCCTCCCTTCGGAAGGCTCAGGAGGCACACCCGTAGTACATAGGAAGTTCCCATGCACTTCACGGGTTGGTAGAGTTCAGTAGGCACGAGTAGTCTTCAGGATTTCGGCCGCAGCACTCAGGAGGAGCGCTGCAGTAGTCTCCAGCGCTAAGTAGTAGTAGCGCTAGCTGTAGTCTTCGGCGTTGGGCGCCATAGCTATAGCTGTAGTCTTCAGCGCTGGGCGCTGGTAGGTGGTAGATCGTAGAGTGAGAGAGAGACTGGCGGAGGCCAGTGTTACTTACCTGTGGCGCCTTCGCTCCAGCTCCATCTTCGTGGTACCTGCATCAAGGCGCCAACTTCACAGGTTAGTACTGGACACAGAGAGAGAGAGAGAGTTCTTCTTCTTCCTCTTCTAAGTCCACCTTCTCTTCTCACCCTCTCGCCACC